GGGGGGGGGGGGGGGGGGGGGGGGGGGGGGGGGGGGGGGGGGGGGGGGGGGGCGTGGGGAGAAGAAATAGGGTGAGTGAGCCGGTGCGAAGGGGCGAATCTCCGAAAGGCTGTACCACTGTAGGTGGGGAATAAGTGCGCGGCTCGTCCATTTGGTGGCAAGCTCGACAGAGAACGAGAGAACCAGACTGGGACACGGCGATGGGTTCCTCGACACCAGCTGAAGGCACGAAAGCGCTGCCGAGACACAAGGAAAAAAAACACCAACGCAGCCAAACCCACGCAGAATACCACCTGCTTGGCCATGCGTAACTCCCGAATGAGCTCCTTCCGGCGCTCCTTTCCCTCGAACATGACGTTCTGGACCGCCCTGCCTCGGATAAGCCTCTGCAGCAAGAGTGCCGCCAGGTGCTCCTGCTCGTCCTCGGGCGGATCCGGTACCCTGTCAAAACCATCAAACGAAACAAGAGGGGGCAAAGCATGAACATTGATTGTGGACGCCGTGGAAGCGTTTGTCGCCACCCTACCCGTCCTTGGGAGTACGTTCGAGAATCATTGCGCAGTCACTCGGCGCCTTTGTGCAATCCAAGGCGTCGATGGAAGTTGCGCCCCGATGTTTCGGGACGTGGAGCCGCCCGATTGGTCGGAAGTGGGTAGGAAAAGGATCCTAAATTGTGCTGCTGCTTGTTCAAAACGAGGTAGGAACCGAACCAACGGCTCGCCACCAGCTCTAGGCCAAAAAAACATTCGTATTCGCTCTTAACCACCTTTTTTTTTTGTTCCGTCCAAGAAACTATCCACGATTCCGAGTCTCGACAATACTTTGACGAGGGAAATACGATGGCAAGACTATCTGCGCGACGAAACTGGAATAACCCATTGCCGAAAAAAAGCCGGGGGCTTCGCAGAGCGGAACAAACTTGTGTGACTCTAGCCCTACCGAAGTGGCTGAAGAAAAATATTACTAGGTTAGGGTTGAAAAATGAAAGGTATGGGCAGACAAAAGCTGAGATATACGATGCCATAACCAAGGAACGGCGTTAATGGCAAAGAGTCACGTCAACGTTTCTTCTTGAAATCCGTTGATGCGCACCTCGGGGTTTGTGGTCTCTCCTTGCGTGAAGTCTTGCTTCTCCAAGCGGGCATCGCCGTCGCGTCGTCAACCGCTCCTTCGATACCGACCACGTTCTTTCCTAATCGGTTCTGACAAGCAACGAAAGGCAACACGTATGAGTCGGCATAGAGTAGGGGCACGTAGGCCCAACTCTGGGACGGTTCGCCTGATTTTCGAAAGCCCCCTACTCGGGGCACCATGTACCAGAGAGAAGGCGAAATCTGGATACGTCTTCTTGGCGCTCACTAGCGTCCACGCCAGACCCGCCCAGAATACAGCTATCGTCCCGATGCAGCCCTTATCCCCACCGGTGAGCTTCCGACTCACGTTAGGGTTGGCCGCCGCCAGCTTGGCACTTCCAGGTGCTGCCGCTCCTTTCCGAGCCTTGAGGAGAGCCGCCGTTTTCTCGAGGTCGACCTCCACCGCACGCTGCTTCCTGGCGATCGTGGTGGTGGCCCTTGGCTTGACCCGGCTAGGCTTTTTGATGACGGTCCTCGTAAGGGCAGGGTTCATGGTGGCCTCCAAGGCGGATATGCCGTGGTAGGTGCTGAGGGACTTTGTGGTGCTCGGGAGTGCGAACCTAGCCCAAGGGTACACGGCAGAAGTGCACGGACAATGGCTTGTAGAGCGAACACTGTACATCGATCGACACGCCGTGAAATTGAACACACGTGAGGCGGCAGAGGTCTGGCGGGACTAAAGGCGAGTTTTTCGTCCTGCATGGCCCTCTGCTTAATTGGGAGCTGAGGCGAGTCAGTTGGGTCGGCGGGTACGGGTCTACGCTTCTCAGCTTAGGCATGTCGAGAACTGTACCGTGGTTTGTCAAGGCAGCTGACCTGCAGCGGGGTGGCGGCTGCGTTTCGCTTAGGCCATGACGCAAGATACGTGCAACCAGACACGGAGAAAGTTGGGCTATTCTTTTTTGTGCCTGTGTATACCCCGCTCCTCACCTGTCACTGTCTTGGTCGATGCGACGACCGAGACGTGTGATAGGAGCGTAAACACCGGACCCGAAGTCAGAGTATTCCTGCGCAGAAGTCGTTGGACGGAGCGGAAGAGTACGAAAACATAAACAGCCGCATTCGGACCAACCCAGTACATGTGCCGTCGACATTGTCCAAATCACAAGGCCCAGCCAGAGCCCGCCGATTGAGTCACTGCGGCAAGTGGCATGCCAAGGTTCGGTTTAGGCTCTCCAGTACCGAACCTGCTTCAGCGAAACAGAAAAGGGTGACTTGTGGCTTTTGATTTGACCAATCCCGGATCTCGTTTGGTAAAGCACACCTCGTTCACTCCCCGATATCATGTACTGTTCTATCCGATCAACGATACCAACGATCTCTTCTCCTCCTACTCCAAGCCTCACTTTCCTCGATCAACCAACCGTTGATCCGGTAACGCAGCCAACCCACCTTAATGATGTCGCGGCGCTGGGACTGCTCGTGCCCTTGGGTGGGCATTGCCTTCCTGGCCTTCGTCAGCTTTCTCAACATCTTTATCCTCGACGCCTGTATCGCACCCACTACCCTCTCGCACCCCTCCACCTTT